CTGCAAACGAAATGAATTGAGTTCATTATAAATATTTACTAGGTTAACGACACAAGTAATATTGCTACGCCGTTCAACCGTTTTTCGCTGTGTGAATAATGGCAAACGATAGTAACACTGTTAATACCACCCTCTCTGCCAGTGGACTGTGAAATGATCGCAATATGAAATTTACGAGTTTACCAATCATTATTCGATTATATTACTATATTTAATCATTATTATCAATTATTTCCACATTACCCACCTGTGTCATCTTTTCTCTGTTGGCCTTTGGGGTTCAATGGGCCTCAGTTAACTAGGACTGGGTGCTCTTCTGGGGCAACACGCAGTTCATGTTAGAAGTATGATGCCAGATCTTCTCCCATTGTCGGTCCCAGGTTGGTGACGATTCCGCTGGTCGATGGGGTTACTTCAGAGACAGAGGATACCTCTCTTTGCTGTTGGCGCCTCATCTCCTACAATAGCTGTCTTCTGACCCCATACCAACCATGACACCCTATTCGCGAATAAGAAAAACGCATTTAGTACTAAAACGGCCCGGCGGTATGAAAATGCGACTGATTACGTGAAAAAACTTTTTATTATAGTCTTATTTAACGTTATTTGATAAAATTCTGAATTCTCGAATAATTTAATCTTACGAAATTCAGTCCCCGTTAAGTCTTAGTTTAAAATCGCAATACACGGTATCTTTACACACCGATGCCTCATTGTTTCCCTGCTAAAATGGCGCACATTATGAGATGACAGCTAAATAGATGAAAGACCGCGGTTCGTACCTGGTGGACGTGGTCTCCAATGAGGTGGAAGGGAAGACGGCACGGAGCGAGCGTATCACCGGCGAAACCGCCTCTGCACATTCCGGAGCCATGTCCACACACAAGTGGCGTTAACATCGTCGTCGCTCCACACTGTTCTGCTGTTAGGGTATGATGTACTGCAATAGACGAACGACATTTATTCATCGCCGACCATGTCGGCGCTGTGTTACCTCTATGAGGCGCGAGCGAAGGCGGCTACATACGATTATAAAAATAGAATCGGAGTCCGCTCTGTTCAGCAGCAACACGTTCGGCCAAGCGGCTGTGGTGATCGTGTAATAGGTGTCCTAGAGCTCCGACTTTATTATTTTCGTGCCTGCTAATTTACAAAACAAACATTTCAGGCGGCGAACCATCGGCGAAGGCTGTGGTGTTCATACTGCACGCTATAAATAAAGAGCAATGTTTGTGCTATAGTAGGAGCGTTCGAGCCAATCAGGTCTGCAAGCACGCCAAGGCTCTTATAGGCACGATGAATCGTTCGCCTAGCGCATCTATAAGGAACCAATTTTTAATATGAATGAATTTTCACAGTATAGTGTTGTCGACCCGCTGTTGATAGTTTCAGCCTCAACGCTACGCGCACCAAATGTGTAGGCTTAATAAACGCTCCGGAGGTATACAGTATCATACTGTTTCTGCCACCAAGGAATTAGTCAGTGAAGCTCACCCAGGCCGATACTAGACGAAAACGGTGACAGCTAAAACCTATATACCGCATTATGTGTCTTAGTAAACGCACATTCAGGGCACAAAAACTACTTAACGGAACCCGATAAATAATTGAGGTGACGCGCTTTGAGGACCTTAGATTAGCGCCAGCACACGGATCTTTCTGTTCATCCTTCATGCCCTGAAGATTCCTAACAATTATCCACAAAATCACTAGCAGCGCTTCTTCTGAAATATCAGGAATGTTCAATATATACAATACTGCCATAACTGAAATCATTTAAGCGGAGTGCCCGCGTAAACCCGTGGCCCATTAACGCGGGACCGGTTTTCGGTTGCGCCTGCGTCAAAACCACTATCACAAATAAACACACATACCGGTTAGCGAACAAAGCCATCGCACTACCAGAGAGCTGGATTAGGGGGACGCGATCGGACTCCACTGAACACGCGCGCTGTCGCTGGTCGGTGCCGCGTTTATGAGTCAGCTCATAGCGCCGCGGGCACTGCGCGCACTCGTCGGCTGGCCATAATAGGGAAAGGACAAGGCCGCCTCCGAGTTCGCGATCTGGCCCGATTGACAACGCAATGCTCTCCATGTCGAATGCGTCTATTTCGGCATGGGCCCGTCGCCGGTGCCGTGCCTCGCTCGATCCCGAAATACGCGCCATTGCACCGTGAACAATTTCTCAGTTCTCCGTATATGCATAACAAAGCGTGATAATCAGGCAGCGCTGCCGCTATATTGTTATATTGCGCGGAACGTGCTGTGTGTACAGTGTGCCGTGCGTATTTTTCACTCATGCGGTCTGCCTCGTGAGATCGTCGAGAGCTGAAATAAGAAATTAAGAATAAGGAAGAAAGAAAAGCAGAAGAAGAAGAAGATAAAGAAGCAAGAAAAAGGAAGATAGAATGAAGAAGAAGACCTAAATAGAGAGAAAAATGGAGCGATAAACAAGAGAAAAATGAGCGATAGAGTGTGAGAAGGGAGTGAGAAGTTGAGAGCGAAGAGGAGTTGCGGATAAGGAAAAACGGACAGAGAGAGAGAGAGACGAGAGAGAGAGAGCCGAGAGAGAGAGAGAGAGGAGAGGAGCAGTGAGGGAGGGGAGAGAGGGAGACGGAAGCACAAAAGCTGAGGAAACTGCGAGACAACAAGCAGGATCAGGAGCGAGCTGCATTAGGTAAAAGAGTAGAAAAGAAAAGAAAAAATAGGAAAAGTGAGTAGGAAGAAAGAAAGAGGGATAAAGGCGAAAGAGAGAGAAGAAGAATATATTATATATACTATATAGAGAAGAGAGAAGTAATATAATTATATATATATATCATATCTAATAGAAAAGAAGAAGATGAATATTAATTTGCCCCGTGCGATTGTGAATCAAGACAAAATCACTATAAGATAAATTGTTAAATTCGAGACGCTGACCACTTTTCAGTAGGTATTTACTTAACATGCCATTATACTATAGCAATTATATGGCTGAACAGAAGCCATTGGTGGTGTTGGGCTGCTGCTAACAATAGGCGAAGGCAATCCCTACAAATGACTGCCATGTTTTATCGACTAGCTGAGTATCATGGACGAGCCGCCTAACTGCTAACTATAGCTGAGCTGACGCACACGCGTCGTCACGGGTTCCTTCCTTAGTTCGGTTTCTTGTTGTGATATCTGATATGGCTCTTTTAAATCAACATGGTCGGGAGTGATCTCGAAGGTGGGACGCGTTTCCTTCGACGCGAATTAAACGGATCATGCCCAGATTGAGGGTTGGTTGGACCGAGAAAGCGTTACATAAATGAAACACACGCGTTCGTAGGGAATCTCCCTGAGGTTTCCTTAATCCATTGGCAGTTTGGATCTCTATAGTAATCGCTGCTAAGTGTTAATAGTGCGTGCATATTGAGAATGGATTGGTTAGGAATAGATTCTAGGCTTGCATGCATATGTACCATCTGTCCGCCACAGTAAAAACTATATCTGTACCCATAGGCAAACATTACGCACTCAAGCTGTGGAAACAAGAAGAATTTCACCGAGCGGCTAAGTGAGAAATGGGCACTCCTATATAGGGCCACAAGCGCGTTTCCATACTTTTAGTCTCAATCTACACACATATGCCACCAACGCCATGCCCCTCTCTCTCTCTCTCTCTCTCTCTCTCTCTCTCTCTCTCTCTCTCTCTCTCTCTCTCTCTTTCGGTCTCTCTCTCTCTCTCACACGCGCGCGCGCACGCACGCACGCACACGCACGCCCGCACGCACGCACACGCCCGCCCGCACACACGTACGCACGCACGCACACAACGCACGTACACACGCTCGCACACACACATATATATCCTTTACTCCGGGGCCTCTCTTCTCTTTTTCTCTATCATTCTGTTGCGCCGTATATATAGGGCTTCACTCATATATTTTGGTCATTTCCTAGAAAACGAGCTGAAAATAGCTCGCTTTGTTTTTCACCCTCGCCCTCTATTTACTTATTCGATCGCCTGTGTTTAGGTTTACTACTACAATCGCTGATTTAAGACGAGTACGTATTCGGGCGCAATCTCCGTGGGCCTGCATGTGCGTGAACGTAGAATAGCAGTTTACAACGAATTCACACGTTTAGCACAATTTACCGTGAATAAATCCAGATGTATGTATTTTATAATTATAGCAATTTGCTGCTTTTAATTCTTGTGCTGCGTGGTGCGTGGTTGGTGAGCGTCAGCGTGCTTATGCGTATGCACGCGTGCTCGCAATCAAGGAACTAGCACACACGCGATACACCCAGGTTAAGGCCTATTTATACGATGCGTCTTAGACGTACGTCTAGGACGTACACCGTGTATGACAATGCAAACGCAATGTCGAAAGAAATTAGAACATCCGTCCTGTGCATCCGATATCGCAAGGGTCATACATTTGCATTGTCAAACACGGTGCGTTATGGACGTACGTCCTAGACGTACTTCTAGGACGTACGTCTAGGACGCATCGTGTAAATAGGCCTTAAAATTTATAATGGTTTGACCCTATTTTTGGTGTAGCCTAGGATGTCACGTAAAGTAAACATCAATGGTTTCCAGTTTATTCATCGGGTTAAAAAAAACAACATGGCAAATAATGCCGGGCAGGAGTATGTCAATAAATGCTACTCGTCAAACCTACAAGTAAATTACATTTCTCTCACTGTGACGTGACAGCTACATCTCTCATATGCTGTATAAAAACGCATACTGGTACGTACTCAGATAAACGTGCTAAAGTAACTTGAATGAGATTTTTTGGCATTCAAAATGCGAATATTATTGAAAAAAACATCATTATTATCAATATCATCGCACATTATATACTTCAAAATGTATTTACATTAAAAATTGGCAATTGTCCGGATTGTCTTTACGTAAACATTACCCGGGTCATTCTTACTACAGCGTAACATGTTTGCTTAGATCGATTTCTGTATATGCTCGATTACGTCAAGTTATGAGTCAAGAATTCACCCAATGTTACTTATAACACAACAGTTACTAATTAAGTCATTGAGGCTGAAACGAAATAACACGATATACGATAGTTTATATTTATTTGGCAACAACTATTCACCACACGTACACAGTTATGTATAGGTGAAGAACAAAGACATTACGATTAACGAATACATCTTGCTCCTACGTCACAGTACAGACAGCTGTACTATGCCAGCGGTCACTTACTGTTGCAACTTATAACCTAATTAATTGTTGCAAATTGCAAATATTGCTTGCTAAATATATAAGTGAGCATGAGACATCTCTTGCACCGAGCTTGACGGGTCACTCCATGTAAACTCTTTAAGAAACCCTACAGTTTTTTCCAGTTTTTTTTTCTCTATGACGCGATAGACAGTCATACGGCAGCTCAACTATGGTGACACGTGAGCAACAACAGCTCTGCGCTATGCTACGGGTTCAACTTGCGGTTCAGGCGTTTATACAGATACTTTATCTGCTTGTTCATGCCCTTGAATTGTGTTGGAGTAAACTTCTTTATAAACGAATTGAGGAATTTTCGTTTTCTTATTAATCGCTGATACTCATTCCAGTGCTTAGGTACACCTCTGACCCATAGTGGTCCTTTTATGATGAGATCCCTAGGCTTTAAAGAACCTTCTCCTAAAATATCTAGAAATGAAAGGTCACAGATTAAATTAACATCACGCAGTACTATATACAAAAACGAGTATCTGGACACAAGTTAAACATACAGTAAAAAAAATGTAATTTCTTGATGTCTACGCACTGGATATGCATCGAAATGAAAGCCACATTGAAATATATTGCAGTTATAAACATTTTCTATGATAAATACCAATATAATCATTCTGTCCAAACAATGCTCTTTTGGTATTCCATGAATTTTTTGGCTCGTACGTCGGAATAGGTAAAGGAAGTCCATCTTCTAATCGTGGCAGTGGACCTAAATCCAAATAATATATACACTCCCTATTCCGAGAATACTAGCTTCCTGCATAGCCGTTGACCTGCCCTCTACATATTTCATATTTTCGGAAGGAGCATGAACTGCTTGTCATGTTGCTTGTCTGTTGTCATATTTCTTGTAATGACATCACCACAGGATTAATTACCTCCCAAATACCCAAATATTTGCATAATTTCCTAAGCAAAAGCATTTTCCTTGTCGTTTTGGTCATTATTCAGAAAAAAAACTTCACATAGTTTTCTATCTTAAAGGACCATGTCTATCCCACTTGATGAAATAGGTTTTATGTTTTGTGTGCTAGTACTGCTACATTTATAACATTTGCATAGAGGTGGGCGACGAGCATTGTTCAGCTCGAGTTGTATTTACAGAGGAGCCCATTCGATTTTGTGGGTAGAGCATGCTAATTTCTTGCAACCCTTCTAAATTCAATCTGCAGAGGTATAATTATCATAAAACTGATGTTTCCATTTTCATAATATTTTTAGGGTGTGCTGTGACGTTTTAAAATAGCATCTATTTATTTACAGCGGCGTATAAAAAGGTTTAGGTTGAATTGTCACCGTATACACAAATACTGGCATCAAACGAAAGACTTGTGGGTGAATGCAGCTAAAATTATTTATATTGTGTCTAGCTCAGAAAGGTGAATTTTTTAAAACTCTTTTGGACAACCTCACCTCTCCCCAAAAAACAATCAAGGAGCTGTTAACCCAACAAATGATCACTGCCAGTGGCGTAGCCAGGATTTTTAACAGGGGGGGGAGCCAAAAACAGCGAACTGCGAAAAATAGTGAATGACTTAAAATTTTAATGGTTCCTCCGCCTGCCTCTCCACACCCTACGCTCCCCCATCTCACGGCTCTGCAATCTTTGTTTTGGGCTCCATGGATTGAGGCGTCATTTTTGTTTGTTGATCTCTGCTACCAAGATATATAAAAGGAGGGGTTGAAAAACAGGTGGAGGGTACGGGGGTCCTCCCCCCAGAAAATTTTTAAAATTTAGATCGCAGGAGATGGTATTTGAGGCACTTTTGAGTACATGTACAACCTTCATTCTGACTACGACAATTCTCTTTTTAGTAGAACAATTATTATTTGTTTATTTTTTATTTTTACTTTCGGATCAACAGGGGGCCATGCTTTGGCCCCCCCCCCATAACTACGCCACTGATCACTATTTTACAGTAATATGTTCTAATAATTCTGACTCCTAGTCTATAATGTCTAGAAATAAGTGCTTAGACATTTAAAAAATAATTACATTGAAGATCAGTCTTATACTTATAGTTACAAACTTGTAATTCTACTGATATGCAAGGTAGGAATTGGCACTTTATTTTACCTCCACGGTAAATTGTGTACTCGTAACCATAGCGACGGATGTACGGCTTGCGTGGATGTGCTCCTTGGCCAAATGGATCTTCTTCTGAAGTCTTCTGCTGTTTACTGCTCTGGTAGACTCTGGTGGAGTTTCCTGTGGTAGACTCTCTTGCAAATGTAGTCGGCAATACTGTTGTGTGTGCTGCACATAATGGAGATCTGTGCAGCGTTAATCGCTGCATGCCTCTCAATATGCTCATCAGGTTGGTACCCATTGCCACTTCTCACTTTTTCTTATCAGCCCTATGAATAGGCAAGCATGAAGGTCAGGTTAGCCACAGTCCTACATATAATTACAGATACCGTCCGACCTCCTTTACCTGGCCACGTCTGGAACGGCACCCATCCAGATATGGGATTTGGCCGGATATGAGAGTTATGCTCAAACACAGAATTTCTATGCAGTTCAGTAGGGTTTATGCATGTGATAATGTATTTACTCGTTGCTATGATTATTTGTAACAAACTGTCGTGTTTTATGGTATATATGAAATGGAAATAAAATGAAATAAAACAGAAATTTTACCGGAGGCATAGCGGACACGAGCGCACAACACACACACACGCGCACACACGCAAACACACGTACGGTTGGTACATCGCGCGAGTTTTGAGCAAAATTTTTAGGTGGAAATGAACAGAGAACATACACTGCGAGATCGCGGCCGGTTAATAGAGATTTCCGGATAACGGATGGCCGGATAAAGGAGGTCGGACTGTATAGTGCAGACATTTAAAACAACCCTAGGTTGAAAATTACATACACATGATTAGAAGTAGCCTTATGAAGCTATATAGACACTACGTTACATGGACATTTCCTTATTAGCATGATTCATGTTTATTTACTTGTGATCATCACATGGCCCAAATTTAAAAGCCTAACAGAATATTTGATGCTGCAAGCCAAAGCCCGTAGAAATACATTTAATTCTAACATATCTAGATGGTCACTAATATAGCAACAAGGTCATGAATAAAAATGTGATAATACATTGCTTCACAATCAATCATCTTGCTTTGTACACTCAAGTGCCTCTAATATAGGCACTTGAGTGTATAAAGTAAGATGATCGATGTCCAGCGATGATTTTATTGGTCGGTTGGAGGTGACGTCAAAGACAGTATACAATTAGACACGGTATACAGTAAGCTTGCCGCATTAAATTTATATCCCCATAGAGGCTCTATTGAAAATTAACTTCCCACAAGCTGTAATCATTATCAGTCAGTCAGCTGGTATCCTGCAAATAGTAAGTCGCCATTGGCTGACACTATTGCCATGCATGGAATATAAGTTTAATGTAGCAGGCTTACTGTACGCCATGTCTAATTGTATACGGTCCTTGACGTCACTTCCAACCGACCAATGAAATCATCGACATCGCTGGACATGCACGCAGCAAGGCAAGATGAAAATTTCTATGCTGATGAAGTTCGGAATATTTGATGTCGTGATATTTTTTATATGATAGACGCTGTACCATATACTGCTTGCATAGTCAAAATGACATTGAATTAGGGCAGAAACTAGTAATCTTTTACATGCTGTGTTTAAATACTTGGCTTTTAAATACTACAACATCTGGAAAGAAATTTCAATCTATTGTTAATCTTTTTTACAACCTTAATTCCCATTACCTCACCACTCATGGAATCTTCCAAGTCTATTCCTAGATACTTAACTGTATTTTTATGAAGGTTTAAGTTCCCAACTTTAAGGAGGTTAACTTTTTTTAGGTTAGGGTTAGGGTTATGATTATCAATCATTATTCATTAAGTTGGAAACACTCCTAATGAGTAGGCCCTAATGTACACCGACCAGGCTCTCCGTCTGTTACACGTCGTAGTAAGTAGTGTTAAGCGAGAAGGGAACTTGTGGCTAGCCCTAAAGTAGCCTAATGGAGCGTTTGCCCTAACGTGAAAACAGGCACTTGGACCGTTTCAATAATGAAATGATGGTTAATAAATACAACTTGTCAGTACTATACCTACCAGTTCCAGTAATACTAATATTAAAAATAGTCTTAATGTTTGATTTTACCTAATAACTTCACTTCAACACCGTCCAATACACCGCTGCAAAACACATAACGCGCACGCCATTGTGCATGCACAAATACACAGTGATATAGAGTTATCTCTATACCTCTATACCTCTATATCACTGTGTATTTGTGCATGCACAATGGCGGGCGCGCCACAGGCACTTGAAGCATTTCAATAAAATATAATGCTAACTAAATACGAAATCTATTTACTACCAAATTCTTAATGTTTCTATAGCCTATAGGCCTACTCTCTTTCACCTATTATTGCCAACAGTTTCCTGTAAATTCCGTCCAAATCCTACGTCCAACGTATGCTGCCGGATGCCACTGCTCTCGCGGCGCGACTGTTGCACGCTTACACTAATATATATATATTTAACTGTCACTGTGCAGCGTAAGGAATGGCGGCCGGTAGTGTGTGTGCATAGAGCATTTACACGGAATTTAAAGGAAACTGTCGGCAATAATAGATGAAAGAGAGTATAGAAACATTAAGAATTTTGTAGTACTAGTATAAGTATTAGATTTCGTATTTATTTAGCATTATATTTTATTGAAACGCTTCAAGTGCCTGTGTGCGCGCTATGTGTTGCAGCGGTGTATTGCCACTAGAGCCCTCGTGGTCCAGTGGTTAGGCCACGTATACTGTCCACTGAAGGCTGTGAGTTCAAACCCCGGCTGGGGCAGTGAATTTTCTGAAGGTGTAAAAACCTGGCTCTCAACATTGGAGACTGTGAATCTCCCGTGGCTCGGATGACCACGTAAAATGGCGGTCCCGTCTCCAGTATTAGTAAATATAGTAATACTAAGACCAATGGGGACGTAAAAGAACCACTGAGGGCGCAAAAAACTCTGGCTGTGACCACCCTCAGTGCCATTCGGCTAAAAAAGGCTAACTACCTGGCTGTACCCAAGCTAGGTCACACACACCATGGCTAGCTATAGCCCTGGACGTTTATTCCTTAGGGACTGTCCAGTATAGAAGTAGAAGAAGAAGAAGTATTGGACGGTGTTGAAGTGGTCAGAGGTCAGATCAAACATTAAGACTATTAGTATTACTGGTACTGGTACTGGTAGGTCTAGTACTGACAAGTTGTATTTATTAACCATCATTTCATTATTGAAACGGTCCAAGTGCCTGTGAACACGAGTAACAGCGCCAGATTATAACATTAACAATATTCAATAATAATATTAATAACAACTCCTATGGCATCATTTATTAGCGCTTGCCATTGCCAAGTATTTTGGCAAAGTATATTGATACAGTGATACTAGGCGAGTTTGCTGGCTGATCAGATTGAGTCTGAGAGTCAGCCAGGATCCAACACTAAATTGTAACTTACACTGTCTCACTTGAGTTCACTTCTACATGGGCGCCGCCATACTATTCAGCTTAGTACTAGTGGCGCAACCTGGTGTTGTATTTCTCATTACTGCTGGTTGTTTACTAGTTTCTTGTGTTGCAGTACAACATTATTAGTGATATGCATGTGGGCCTTACTTCGTTACGTGTGGTAAGACCGTAAGTATTCACATCGTTTAGGAGTTTTTATTTAATGTAACACTGGGGTTTCAGCATAGCAAGCAGTACATGCCGAAAACATGTATTAGTGTAGTAATGTAACACAGACACAGTGTGAGTTAGCTCCAAGAAACGTAGCGGCAGCCCGACCAGGCTGTGCGACGGATTGTCTATACAATACAATCAATAGTATTGTAACCCTAGCAATACCGTTTCTTGGAGCTACAAGAAACGGTATTGCTAGGGTTAGAATACCGTAGATATAGACAATCCGTCGCACTGCCTGGTCGGGCTAAGTGTGAGTGTGCACTGATGTCAACACTGACAACAATATTCAGTAAAATGCCCGCATACAAAAATACCCGTAACTCCTCACAGGGATGGCATTTTTTAATTCTGTGAACGTTGTTGTGTTGGCCCTCATGGCGGGCTATCCAGAGAGACATGATACAAGATTGCGTGGCACAGCTTTGCTGTTGATCCTAAGCACTGCGCGCGGATGAGACGCGCAGTTCCGCGGGAAATGCGCACATTACCGCGGGGATGTTCAAGTATGAAGCGCTGTCCGCAGTGGAGACGTGCGCCAAATTCGAGGCCCGGCGCACGTCTCCACAGCGGTCAGCGGATGGTCTGTAGTTTTAGAAGATAACAATGAAGACTTTGTTCTAAATAAGAACTATCGGCGGCTAAATAAGAGCAATATATACACCTTTGAATTTCCTGACTAGTCAGTCAAAGGGCTTGTTGAGGGTCCATTATGCAGAGCTTCCAATTGAAATGGCCCATGAAATTGTCAAGTGGAATTGTCTTTTTCGGAACCCCAAAGAAAATGTCTCCCTCTTACATGCACGCCCTCCCTGATCAATCACGCATGTAATTCATAACGCAAGAATATGAACGCACTTGTTCACTTTCGAAAGCGGGTAAAAATGCCGAATTTTTCCACTTTGATGCGAAATGCATCGGCCGGGCATTTCATTATTTACGAAAAGTAAACAGGCTGGCGAAAGACAGTAGGTACAGTAACGGGTCGCGTCGTTGACGCCCCATTCATGTCCATCAACGAAGAAGGCGGGGCTTATTCTGATTACGATGATGCGAAAATACTACAGAAGGACGTAGCGCACTGCGCTAAACAGCGTGTTATTTTCGTATTTATGGCAAACTCTATCGTAGGAAACCGTTCTAACATAGCAGAATGCTCTAGTTCCTGAGATCGGCGATTTGGTGGTCCAATGGGTCCCCATATTTAAAAATATCAAAGACTGGTGCGGCGTAGGCTGTGATTGGAAGTCACAAAGTGTCAATCCTCGGCGCGCCTCGGCATCATGGCCGCATCACGTCTAGTAAGCTCACAACACATATTTAAAACTATTTAGGAAAAAATCACCTACTATCCCTATTGAGTTATATGATATTATAATTATACAATACATTACTCTATTATTATACTTATACTCTACTCTAGTCTCTAGCCAGCGTTTTTCGGCAGAATTTTTTGATGTGATCCTCGTCATCTTGGCCATTGGGTGCCAAGTACGACTCCCTATAGTATATGTGACTTGACAGTGCCTCTGGCAGTGAAAAAGATACTGGAGACACAGTAGCATGCCACCAATGCATATATAGCAAAAACATGAATAATTATAATATACCGGTAGTGCTAGTTAAATAGGTTTGTGCTCTCATTAATACTCTAGCCACTTTCCTTTTGGTGGCAAGGGAGTGCATGTAAAAAATAAAAATAACTTGCATTTGCACTATTACATTGTACATACTAGAACATGTTGTTTTATAGTTTTTGCACTTTGGTACAAATTAAATGATAAACATATATCACATTTGTTCAGGTACTGCTTTCAAACTTTTTTACATGGCCCTTTTATAGGGCAGGTCAGATGATCTGTGGACACTCTTGGGGAGAATGGTTTGAAATAATATTTTCAGTCGTACACGCGCGTGCCTGCCTACATTGTCTGTACACAGCATATACTGTACAATGCTCACAGGGAACAATAGATGTATGTTTAGCTTTCAAAAATGCTCTGTGCACTTATTGCACTCAGAATGCACTGAACAGCTAAGCATTGTCATTTGGGATCAGTCCACAACATAGACTTAAAAAGAAGGAAGTTCATTTTGCAGGAAATATTCAGTTGAACAAGGTTCCGTCCCCTTATCCGATGAAAATAATTTGTGTAAGGACTGTTTTTCAATGGCATCACTTGCGGCATAAATGCGCCCCTTAGACCGAGACTCGATAGAGCAAGGACTACGGTATCATGATTTCTTTCTGGTTTAAAAAAAGTGAAATTCTTAACTATGTGCCATTTTTTCTTTTTATATACAGGTGTATTTATAAATAAACATAAAATTTGCCACCTCATATGCATTTTTACACATGGTCTTGATCAGCTATAAATTTGGTTTATTTAATAGACCCATATATATATATATATATATATATATATATATATATATAGCTATAGTTTTCAGTTTCTCTGGAAACCTTTTTTCAAGAACCGTTAATCTATTCTGCTATTATTTTTACTATAATAGATATTAGCGGTCAGTGTAAATGCTGGTGTTCAATGGCATGTGTTTTCCTAATTCCGTCATCTATTTCACGCATGGCGCCTGTGTAGATTAGGCACATAGATGCCTCGCTCCTCGGACACAGATCCAGCAGCCAAACGACCGTGCCCGCGGTCGATTCGCTCCACCTGCAGATCGCTAGTCAGATTTTACAACCGAACTCAACGAAGGGTTAACATCATCTGGTTAAACTACGAAGGGGAACAACAGCAAGGGTAAGTACTAAGCAGGTGTAACGTCAATAGTTTCTCAATGAGAATATTTATACATGCAGTTGCTTTCATCACAGCAGTAATAATAAAAATATTTAAACAAAGTTATATCAACGCAACACAACATAGCAGGCCTGTTATGCAAAAAAACAAGAAAACCATGACATGGCATAATAATCAGTATAATGCCACACAGATGGGTTTGGGAAGTGTATCTTCTAACATATGGGCAGTCCTAATAGCAGTCCTGAGTGAAATAATAGCTTTTAATAATAGCAGTCCTGAATGAATGAACACATTCTTATTCGTTTCTCGATATGTAATACCATATTAATTTTTATGCTGTAGTGCGATATATCAGTCAGTCGTGTTTCACTGTACTGTATGCAGGGGCGGCGCCAGGGTATTTTCTTAGGGGGGGCGAAACCAGGGGCGTTTACAGGAACACGCGAAGGGGGGGTCTGGGGGGCTCTCCCCCAGGAAATTTTTGAAATTAGACCCCCTCAGATGCGTTTTCTGCGCGAGTAGGGGTGGTCCGGACCCCCTGGACCCCCCCTGTACACGCCCCTGCGAACTGTAGAATCTGATACCGTGTGCGCTTGCACTGACGGGTGGGGTACAAGGGGTAGATTAATGATTGTTGTTTTTTGTTTGTTTTTTTTATTTGGGCCGTGCTAGCGACCGGCGGTTCCGGACTGTTAGGAGCCGATAGGCTACACGTCTCGCGCACTACATCTCACACTCCTCCTCCTCCTCCAGTGAGCGCTTGGCGACACGCGTATGATTGCGCAATGGAGGACGCTCTGTCTGAATCTGCTTCCTGCTGCTCGTTGTGTCGTTGTGGGTCGTGTGTGTGTGTGTGTTGTGTCGTGTGTGGTGCGTGCGTGCGTGCGTGCGCGTGCGTGCGCTGCTCGTGCGTGCGTGCGCGTGCGTAGCCGTGCGCT